ATAGAGTTGGGTGGTGGCGGGTGGTGGTGGGGGAGGGCGGGCGGGCGGCTTGGTTGTGTTGTATTGTTGTGGTCGCGTTTTCTTTCATTCAGCAGCACGGTACGGGTGGCAGCTGCATCCTCACTCAAAGGACAATTCCCCCAGCAGGGGCAGGCACCTGCCACGCGCAGCGCAACAGTTCCATCTACAGCTCGGCGGCTGCCACTGATTTGAAGGCACGCAGGGGGCTTCATTTCAGCCCCCGTATGTCCGTGGTTGAGCAGCGACGTGAAGCTCAGAGAGCTGAATGGAGAGTTCGCATACGAACACGTGGTTGTGAAAGACCCAACGCAGAAGAATCCCTGGGTTTGATCTTCCACGAAACTCACGGTCCACCCTAAACCGCATCCACTGCACAGACCATGGCAGTCGATGCCGCTTACCTGATGCACAAATGGAACATTAAAAACTCTTCTTGGTTCTTTCGGTAAAGTCACGTAGAAGGGAAATAATAAAATAATAAAACTAAAACATAATAAAATAAAACTCATTCGGACGCTGTCTTTCCGACAGCCCTGTTCTTCACCTGAGGACGGCTCCTTGAGTTGTGGCCGAAACGTCGTGAGAATTTTATTTTATCATGTTTATTTTTATTATTTTATTTTTTTCCCTTCTACGTGACATTACCGAAAGAACCAAGAAGATGCATCCCTGCAGTCACGAAAGCTTTAAATCGAAAATTAAAAACTCTGTAGTAGTGTGTGACTGTGGGTCATCCAGGACAGACCGTGCAACTTGTATAATGACAATCTTAATTTTGGAGCTTTCGTGACTGCAGGAATTATTCTTTGGTTCTTTCGGTAAAGTCACGTATAAAGATATAATAATACATTAAATAATAGCATACGACGTTTCGATTGCAACACAAGCAATCATCATCAGGTATAAATGAAATAGCAACAAAAAATCTAACCAGAAAACTATAGACAGACATATAAGCAGACAGATATCACCAAGATACATAGAGAGAGTAACACAGGGTCAGAGAGGGAGATCGTCTCTGTGGCGTGGCCTTACATAGACAGAGGGGGGCGGAGGCAGAGAGAGGGAGGGGTTAGAGAAAAAATTAACATGTCAATGAGTACGAAGAACGCAAATGCCCCGACCCACAAATACGAAGGAGGCATCACAGAAATCCACTCCGCCGCTCCTGACGCTGTTGTTCTGGCTTGACCACCTTGAATGTGAGATTGTAGTCGTTCCTCTTGCATGTTACATCGGCAGCCAAACGAAGCGACGTGAAAGCACATCCAGTATACTGTACATACCTCACTGCCGCGTGTCTGTGGAGACTCGTCACGTGTCCCCTGCTCCAGTTTATACCAGCGACCCAGAACATATTCAGTGACAAATGAAGCAATGTGCGAAAGTCTGGATCTCTGTGAGTCTATGGGTCTCTATCAGTCTGTTTATCTCTATGTGAGTATGGTAAGACACTGGGTCTCTCCGCAACTGAATGGGTCTCTGTAAGTCACTGTAAGTCTCTGTAAGTCTATCTGTGAGTCTATGTAAGTCTTTGGGTCTCTGTGTGAGAACCACAGGGATTAATATCGGCAAAAGTCTGTCGGAGTGAGCAACCCAGTAAAATATATTTGCATGTGACATTACATCCAGTACACCTTTCGCTATGACTGTGAATACCTGCCGCATGCATGCCGACATTCCAGCATACCAGCGACTCTCAATGTACTCGGAAATAGGTGGAATCCCTGGGTATACGCGCCACCCACTCACAAATTCTTGCCAAAAGTCCCATCATCATCAGCATCACTCTTTGGTTGTTTCGGTAAAGTCACATAGAAAGAGAAAATAATAAATTAAATAATAGCATACGACGTTTCGATCATCATGATCTGATGATGATTGCTTGTGTTGCAATCGAAACGTCCTATGCTATTACTTAATTTATTATTTTCTCTTTATACGTGACTTTACCGAAAGAACCAAAGAGTAATTCCTGCAGTCACGAAAGCGCCAAATCAAGTCATCATCATCAGCATCATTTTCCGATTTGTTCACTCACACACATTCATCCGAGAGCTGGGCACTGTGGAGCCAGCGGGGGTTGATGGATCACCGCATCGACGTTGTGAAGCTCCCATCCCGTGGGCGTTGGGGAGGTGCCGGCACCCTAAGTTCGCCCGGAGGTGGCACAGCAGAGTGTAGATTACTACACCAGGAGGTGGTACAGCAGAGTGCGGACTGATATACCAGGAGATGGTACAGCAAAATGCGGACTAATTGTAATGTGTCTGTGTAGTCCCCTCGCGAGTGTGGGGTTTTCTCTGGTTTCCTCCCACGTGCAGAATCACTCGTTAGTTGGCTTGGCTACATCCCGATGTGTGGACTATAGAGGACCGCAGAGCTTGGGGGAGATTGTTTGCGATGGCCCATCGCGTGGCTTACTGTGCGATTTCCATGAACGACGATGCAATATTAAAAACAACTAAACAACATGATATATTATTATTATGAACGAGTGTATGAATTCTTGTAAGCAGGACTTCATTTCCCAACGGATATTTTCCGGGCCACTGGTACAGCCTGAGTGAGAGGAACACTTGACGTGGTGTTTTGGGTGCAGAAATATTTTTTTTGGAGTCATCGACCCGGACATATCCCAAGCTACCCTTGCTTGCTATTCTTTGTCGGATGAATTTCGTCGTCCTGCACACAAAGCACACTTACTTAAGTCAATATGATGTCGTTAACCTGCCGTATGTCATCTGGTCCACTTGCTTTCTGAGACCAACACGTTGCTAAATCTAGATTCAACACCATAAATCTTGCATCCGCTAATGGACGTCTCAGCATCGAGTGCGGAGTTCAGACAAACACGGACGCGCAATTCACAAAGCCAAATCGTCACTGCGATCAGCACTGCCGTGTAAATCTAAAGCCACGTTTGCCATTCTTTACCCTGAACACACGCACACTTAGACGGAGATTAAAGCAACAAAAATAATGCGCAGACGACGCGTCTCCTTCCCATATTCGTCTCACCAAATAAAAAATGAATCTATATATTTACACAACCTATCAGCCCCACGGCCCTTCTGTGGGTGCATAATTTCAGCAGCCTTGGGGGCCGTCCATAAATGACGTCACGCGATTTTGAACGATTTTTGACCCCCCCCCCCTTTTCGTCATACGACGTCACAAAAAGTCAGACCCCCCAAAAAAATAAAACACGCTTCAAATCGCTTTAAACTATTGTCACTGCAGTGCGTATTCAATGTGACGCTGCACTCTGATGTTGTAGGAAAAAACATTTATTACAAAGTCTATTTAATTAAGTAAAACGTGTTGTCACAAATGTCTGACCCCCCCTCCCCCAGGTGCGTGACGTCATTTATGGACGGCCCCCAAAACTCTCGACCGCTTTTGACATACAGGGTATCATCGGTTTCAGAGGCAGGCTCGCTTGACTCAATGCTGGTGAGCAGGCCGGATGTTCGAGGTGTAAAGGAGAGCCGACACGACGTTGCAGGGGGTTCGTCCAAGAAGACCCCCTTGTGTTTACGATATCGAGTCCCAGTTCGACGCCAATTTACAAAGTGACACGCAACTAAACATGATAATTGAGCGTCAACATTGTAAAAGATTGTGCTTGCTTGTCAACGTTCCAATTTGCTGAATAACCATGTCAATTAGTGTCTTTGCCCACGTAAAAACTTGATTTTTTGTTTGACCACGTGATGACTTGATGTTTTTGTTTGGCCACGTGATAACTTGATTTGATCACTTGGCTCTCTCGGGTGACGGAGGTTAATAGCTGAAAATGTACATCATACATTCCCGCGATGTGACCCAAAAGTAAAGAGATACGAATCGTAATGGTCTTAAAAGCCTACATATATAATTATAAAATTCGCGTTATTGGTGGGGAGTATAACTGACAACATATGTAAGCTGACGACAATGTCTCCTTCCTATGCCCGTCTCTCCACCTAAAACACATAAAAGACGATTTATAACCCATCAAGTGCGAAAAGGGTCGTTTGGGAAATGCACTGTATGTAAATTATTGCGTGAATCGTCACACGAAACCTACACTTCACGCTTCCTCAAAGGGGGAGGCGGGGTTAAATGCGTGTGTGTGCTCGCTAACAGGAGCTACCACTACGGTCAACACCAGTGACGTAAACATCGCCACTGGGGAAACAAAGGCGGCCGGGCGAGGTCGTTGGCCACTCACCCCCTCGTGTACCGTGCCGGCTGTCATAAGTGCTCACTAACAGCACCTGCCCCAATATTATGTTAAGGCTATACGGGGGACCTTTGTTTTTGTGGACGCGTGCGCGCGTGTGTGTGTGTGCGCGCGCGCCCTCTGAGTCTATTCATAAATACACGTTTGACTGGGTTGTCCGGGTGGGTGGGTGCGTGCCAGGTAGCTCTTTGGCTCGGATGAAAGACTCAAATTCCAAAACGCTGAGACGGAAATAAAAAGCCGTGTGTCATGACAAGCGCCCAGCCAGTGCTGCCTTCGGGTAAGTTGAAGCCGCTCTTATAAAAATCCTTTAAAAACGAGTCACCGGGCAAGCGAACTCGACTCGCCACCGCTGCTGCGGTGTGCAAGATCGTCACCACCGCCAGCACCGCCCTCCACCATCGCCGCGATCTCTGACCGATGCCGTAAATAGGCATTACGCAAACTTCACGCCGCGAATTCCTCCGCAACCCCAATCTCTGAAAGCTCACATTCCGGTTGGCGCGGGGAGTGTGTGTGGGAGGGGGGGGGTCCACTCTTTTTTTTTGGCCGCGATGCGTAAACACTGCGTAAAGACACGCCGGTACGTGCTCTAAGACACACACCCCCGCCCCCGGTTATCTTGGGTCTCAGTCTGTAAAGTTGCTTTAACTCGTCCGCGTGCTGTGGAGCCCGACTACCTTGAGTGACGACTTCCCTGCGGTACGTACACCCGAAGCAGGTGGCTCTTTCATTGTGATCGCCCGACCTCCGCGCATAACCCACGTGCGTTAGCGGCGAGCTTGATGCGCTTCCTGTTGATCGTCTCTGAGAAGTCGCACGTACGTGGAGCGCGAGTTGGTAAGCGCGTGATGTTACATGCGTGTTGGTACATGCGTGTTGGTACATGCGTGTTGGTAAGCGCGTGTTGATAAGCGCGTGATGGTACGCGCGTGTTGTTACGCGCGTTTTGGTAAGCGCGAGTTGGTACGCGCGTGTTGGTACATGCGTGTTGGTAAGCGCGTGATGGTAAGCGCGTGATGGTACGTGCGTGTTGGTAAGCGCGAGTTGGTAATACGCGCGAGTTGGTAATACGCGCGTGTTGGTAATACGCGCGAGTTGGTAAGCGCGAGTTGGTACGCGCGTGTTGGTACATGCGTGTTGGTAAGCGCGTGTTGATAAGCGCGTGATGGTACGCGCGTGTTGTTACGCGCGTTTTGGTAAGCGCGAGTTGGTACGCGCGTGTTGGTACATGCGTGTTGGTAAGCGCGTGTTGATAAGCGCGTGATGGTACGCGCGTGTTGTTACGCGCGTTTTGGTAAGCGCGAGTTGGTACGCGCGTGTTGGTACATGCGTGTTGGTACATGCGTGTTGGTAAGCGCGAGTTGGTACGCGCGTGTTGGTACATGCGTGTTGGTAAGCGCGTGTTGATAAGCGCGTGTTGGTACGCGCGTGTTGTTACGCGCGTTTTGGTAAGCGCGAGTTGGTACGCGCGTGTTGGTACATGCGTGTTGGTAAGCGCGTGTTGATAAGCGCGTGATGGTACGCGCGTGTTGTTACGCGCGTTTTGGTAAGCGCGTGTTGGTACATGCGTGTTGATAAGCGCGTGTTGGTACGCGCGTGTTGGTACATGCGTGTTGGTAAGCGCGTGTTGATAAGCGCGTGATGGTACGTGCGTGTTGGTAAGCGCGAGTTGGTACGTGCGTGTTGGTACATGCGTGTTGGTAAGCGCGTGTTGATAAGCGCGTGATGGTACGTGCGTGTTGGTAAGCGCGAGTTGGTACGCGCGTATTGGTACGCGCGTGTAGGTACGCGCGTGTTGGTAATACGCGCGTGTTGGTAATACGCGCGTGTTGGTACGCGCGTGTTGGTACGCGCGTATCGGCTCGGCCTTAAGTGAGCGAGAACCTGTTGCGGTGTGTACACATCCGCACGGAAGAGAGACAAAGGGTGCCGCTCACACCACGTGGTGCTGCCACCCGCTCGTGTGCCGTGCCGGGACCCTTCACAGGCGCTCGCGAACAGCCCTTGCCCCCAGCAAATTGTATGGCTTTTGGTGGGGGGGGGGGGGGGGGTTGTGGTATGTGATGTGCGAAACGTCTGTACAGGCTGTGTAGACATTGCTATTGTAAATGGTTGATCGTCGTAATAGCCGCCGTCGTAAATAATAGCCGTGCCGTCGTGTGTGCACACGTCTCGGCGTGATGTAAACTGCGTTCTGTGCCGCGTACGTCGCGGTAGAAGCTGTTCTCCTTTTGCTTCTGCGCTCTTCCTCAGGGCCAGCTGGGCAGGCGGCACAGCTCCAGAGTGCCACCGCTCCGATCTCGAGACCACCTCTCAGCGTGGACACAATCCCTCCGACAGAAGCCGCCGCCTCTGCTGTCAACTCCCCCTCCCGACTCCGCGCGCGCACGCGAGAGGGCAATGTTCGAATTCCTTCGCAGGGGCTCGGAGAGCTGCGCCGACGTCGCGTGCACCCCCGACTACTCGCACAGCGCCGAGGACCACGGCTCCCTCCTGCTCCTCATTCGGAGCGTGGGGGACGTCGCCGGCGAGCGCTTGGGCGAGGCGCTGGCGCAGGCCTCCTCCGTCTCGTCGGTGACCGTGCCGCGGTGCGGCAGGCCCCTCCGGGTGAGGTGCACGTCGAGGTACAGCCCCGAGGAGAGCCGATGGGGCGACCTGCAGGGCCACCGCAAGGTGGTGGGGTTGATCGGCCTCGCCGAGTGCTCGGACTTGAGCGGTGTGACCGACGCGGTGGAGAAATTCGAAAGTGCCAAGGACGACTACGGGGGCTCCGTGTGCGGCTCGCGGCTCATCGTCTACGGGAAGCGGCCCGATGGGTGCGATGGCGTGACCTCGGATGTGACCTCGGACGTGACCTCGGACGTGACCTTTGTCAGCGAGGGCGGGCCATGCCTGGATCTCAGGGCAGAGGTCGAGAGGGTCGTCGTCTCCGTGTACGAGGTCCTCTGCTCCAGCGGCACCCTGGAGGATGAGGCGGCGATGTACGCCGCCCCCTTCGAGAAGGAGTCGCCCATGACCTTCGTTGTTGGCAGGTACGAGTTCGATCGCTGGACGTGGGTCTCATCATTGGGGAATCGGAATTTTCTAGCCGCTGATTAAAAGCCGAACTTGGCTGGGTGCAGTTATTTAACGTGACTTTTATTCTGTATAATAGGGTCAATTATGTAATCACTGCTTTAGTTTCATGGTAAGGATGACTTTTGAATTCATATATTTGCACCACTGCCACCCCCCCCCCTTCACCAACCCGCAGAGGCCAGCATGGTGAAGTATGGTCAAAATTCATCATGGTGTGGTGGGGGCATTCACCTATCGGTGAAATGTACTGATCATTCGAGTAGAAAACTTCCTTCGTTTTGTTTCGATCCACCTTGTTTTATCAACGAATTAATCAATGAATAAATTGTTGCCCTCACGTAATTCTCCGCCCTGACTGTGAATCTCAAAACGCCCACGGTCAACCCAGGCAGCTCAAGAAGCGGCGCCAGGGACGGATGTACAAGCGCCAGGGAGACGTGAGCCTGCAGACGGGGTCGCTGGCAGACGCCCTCATGCACTACCGCCGGGCAGCGGACATCCTGGGGCCCATTGGAGACACCGCCTGGTTTGGGGGTCAGAGCAACAAAACTCGTTTTCTTATTCGCCCCTTTGCTTTTGTTTTAAGTCAAAGTTATTTCTTTGTTGAAAAAACACGTTCCTTCGGAGTGGGCAGGTAGGAACTTGGTTTGACAGCGTGGCGCTCAGGGGGGGGCAGTTGGATGAGTGGGCGTGTCTACCCTTCCCCCCCACCCTCCCCGACATCGTCAACCAATCGCGGCGTAGCTCGGTGTTCGGTGGGGAGGGGCATGGGTGGGCGGAATTCCGGATATGCACGACAGACAGACAGACAAATAATCCCTGGTGGGGGCAGTGTGGAACCTGTTGTTCCTACCTGTAATTTAACTTCCTTATCTTATCAGGTAAGGTCCACTGAGCTATACAGCTCGTTTTCAGAAGCGACCTGGCCACAAACCGATATCTCAACGAAGTGGCTTGTCACGTGGACATTTATAACGGCCAAGGCGAGCATTGTGGGTCACAACGAGGGCGCCATGGTGGCGTGATGTTGACTACCTCGCCTGGTATGCATGAGGTCGTGAGTTCAATACCGACTCTGACACCTGTATATTTTGAGTTTTACATGTTCTCCCCGTAGTCGCGTGGATTTTTCTCCGGGGCCTCAGGTTTTTCCCTTCACATTTAAAAACCGGCTTTGATAGTATTTGGCTGCTATAAATGTCCACTTGATAAGACACTTCGTTCAGCCATCATTTGTGGCCAGGTCGCTTCTGAAAAAGCGCAATATAGCGTAGTGGGCCTTACCTAATAAAATCAAAAGTTTCGTTTAGTTTTATTATGTTAAACTCCTTTCTTATGGGCCGAGGTGCCGTACCCTGGTTTGACATGAAAAGGCAGTACAGCAAGTGGAATAATTTCTATCTGTTTCAATCTGTACGGGGATAGAGAGTTGCTGCCTCGCTTGCATGAGTTTTCTCCGGAGCGCTCCGGTTTCCTCCCACGTGCATAAGCGCCCATGAATTGGCTGAAAACATTTGAAAATAAAAACCCAATTTAAGAGTCGTACAACACAGTGTAGTTTTAATAGATAAATAAGTAATAATTTACATATCAACGCAATGGAAATTCCACATACCTATGGTGGGAGTGAGTCTATGTATTGAACAAACACTGTTGATTTCTTCACTAAATGGTATTTATTTGACCAACCCTGCACGGATGATGGGCTGCGTCAACCCCCCAACTAGGATTTGAACTCACAAGCTTCCACCTGTGATCAGCTTGCTCTGCCGCTGAACCACCTGGCATGCTTACGTTTTTAGTTGACGGATCAATTCAAAATCATTCACCCACATGTGTACATGCTGTCGTCTTGCGGCTGTGGGCGTGTGGTAGATCTGTCACTGTGATGGTGATTTATTTGGTAGGTCTGCATACGGTATTTTTATGGGCATATATTATGCATGTCGGGGAGCAATGGTGCTGTGCTTACTGCGCCACGTGAAGATCCTGACGATTCGAGTTGGTTGCCGTCCACAGCCAACAATGGTGGTGAGCGATCTGAACTGATGAGGAATTGGAACTCGAGTCACCGGATTCGTGGTGCAGTGTATGAACTACTATGCTCGCACTCCACCACGATGCGTACATTGCATTACGATAACGCAAGTCCGTGCTCTTGCGATCTACTCGCGAGAGCTATCGGGTCCCCGTTTCTTGCATTCGTATGAGGAGCGACAACCGTGACTTATGGTTTTTAATCCGGGGAGGTAAAATATGGAAACGACGTGCCAACGAAGGTTTCCCGGGAGTTACGAGGCGAGACAACGATGAGAATAGGCGGGTCTTATGGGAACGAACGGTCATAGAATTAACCGAGGAGCGCAGGCGTCCATGGTACCAAACAGCAATCCAGCAAAAGCAATCGCAACGCTAGTGGAAGGCGACAAAGGGTAGAGAAAAACATGTGTTGATGGAGTGGAGGAAGAGGCACGAGAACGGAGAGGAATGACCATGGAGATGGAAACATTAGCAACAGATGGGCTATGTTGTTGATCGGCACACGATGAACATGCGGGGGGGGGGGCATTGGGGGATATGCTCACGATGATGACGACGACGACGATGACGACGATGATCGGTAAGGGTGGAGGACTGCTGCTGTCATCGGAAGTTGCTGGACCCAGCGGCCTCCGCAAAGGGCTAATACGGGGAGGACACGGCCCCGTGGCACTCCCCCCACAGGCTGGGTGACAGGGCAGCTTCAGGGGTCAACGAGGAAGCAAGACCCACCCCCCACCCGCTTTCCACAACAACCGTACGAGCGCGCACAAAGCCGCTCAAACAAACGCGCCACCGTTCTTCACAGCAAACCAACGCGTTGTGTTGTGGGCTCGGGCCCATTTAATGAGATCGTGTGTCACCATGTGCTTTAGGGGGGGGCGGAGAGGTTAGTTTCCTGCATGCCCCTTGTGTGGTTCTTGTCAACAGCTGCTCTGGAGGGCCAGTGCACGGTCTCCTGCCTCTACCGCTCACAACGGAGTGGTCCCTCCGGGTGCCAAGAGAATGGCAGAGGTGTGCCGACGAATGGGGACGAGGTGGATGGGTCACGTGACGAGGGCGACGGTGACGGCGTCGACGACGCCAATGAAGGTTTGAGCGCAACTTCTTTTTTTTGGAACTTTGTGCAACGACGCTGCCACTTATTCGCGAGATCGTTCGACCGTTTGTCAGTCAATTCCAGAGCTTCCGGAGTTGGAAACGGGATGCTACCGTCGCGGTGTGATAAGTCAGCGCACCGAAACAGGAATCCCAGAGGTTGCCCGGTTTCGGTTAGATCACCTGGTGCGGCAGGTTGATGCAACGGTGCAAGTTTCCTAAATCCCCCCGCGGTATCGGTGGGTGTGCACCACACCGAGTCGATTGGTGGACCGCTGTGCGGTCGCGTAAAACGTGGGTGTCCCCATTGTGGAAGGGTAGGGCCCCTCTTAGATGGGTTCCGCAGAGCTCACTCCAGCGCGTAGGCCCATCTGGCAGCAGTGTCGCGAGCAAGAAATGTGCAGGGCCGCGCCTTCACCTTTCGCTCAAGACAAATATACGACGGCTGCGACGTGCGTCGCGTTGCGCGAGGCGCGTCTGCGTGCTCCGTTGGCTCGAGGGATGTGTACGCGTGACGGTGGGGACATTTGCGTGCCGTTTCAGTTCGGTCGGATGAGTCGATCCCGTCGCGGCGGAGGACCACAAGAAAGAAATACGACTACCTGATGGACACCGCGTTACCGGTCGAAGAAATCATCGACAAGTACAAGGAAGCCATCGCGTGCTACTCGAAGGTAACGCGTCATGCGCTCGCCTGCGCCAGACGTTCGAACGTCGACAACGGATACGCGAGTTCAAGCGGAACGCTGTGACGACGACGGCGACGACGCCGCGTACGTGCAATTGATCACACGCTTGTATTTCCACGTGACTACGGTGGAGGAGGGTCTTAATTGGTGCAGACGAGGCCAAAATACCCTCAAGAGGGACTCTCCGTGGCTCCCTTTGTCAGCAGTGGTATCAGTATGAAATTGCAGGGCTGCACCTTAATCTTTTAAAGGTAATTGTGGGCATGGTATCTCGCACACGGTGTGTATTGCCATCGCGTGGCCGTCTCGGCCTGCACGATCCACCAAGCCTTGTGTTGCACTCTCCAACCAGTCCCGTTGACGCCTGGTTCTGTGATAACGAGATGACGAAACAGATTGTGAACGGGTGAGTTGCTCCTCTCTGGAGACTGGGAGATCGTTGATGTTCTGTGTTCGGTCGCCGTGTCTGTGACGGCATTGGCCGTGATTTCTCACCGAACAGAGTGGGCCTTGTGAAGGCTGCCGTCTTCCACTCGGCTTAATTTGTAACCCCCAAACACCCTCCAAGCATTGGATCACAACAACAATTAAACATGTAAAGAACATTGCTGTCCTGTCCAAACATCTCTCCAGCACGCTGCGTAGTTGTGAAGTGACGGGCGAGTTTTTAAAGGTCACGTTCGATATTTGAGAGGGCGAGAGAGAGGGGGGGTGGACATCTCTTTGTCCTCAAGTTAATCTGGCAGCGAGTTCCAGGCGTCGGGTCAAGCGATTGAGAGAGCGCAACTTGATCACGGCACGCGCGCGCGCTTCTGATCCGCTGGGATTCGCCGCAGCACCCGGAAATGGCCGTGCTGGAGCTGGAGGCCACGCTGAAGGCCGTGCGGCTGCTGCTGGAACAACGGAGGAACCAGGAGGCGGTCGCGCTGCTGCAGGAGATCATCCACCTTCAAGCGCCGCAGGTAAACCCCCTCGCAAGCGGCGTAGCGGCACCAGCGGCAGCGGCGGCAGCAGCAGCTTCCCCTAAGCGAGAAGCGGTGTCCTCTCTGTGAAGCGGACCACAGATCGGGCTGTTCCACGGCACTGTTCCTCACAACTTCTGAAAATGAAGAAGCTCCCTGCACGTGGAGCGAAACGTTGGACATCGTAACCTCCGCAGTAAACTAAAAACGAAACTTTTTATTTGATCAGGTATGGCCCACTGAGCTATTAAGCTCGTTTTCAGAAGCGACCTGGCCACAGATGATTGGTCAACGAAGTGGCTTATCACATGTAAATGTATAGCAGCCAAATACTCTAAATGCATGTTCATTCTAAATGTGGAGGGGAAAACCGGAGGACCTGGTGGAAAAATCCACGCGACCACGAGGAGAACATGCAAACTCCAAATTTACAAGTGTCAGCGTCGGGATTGAACCCACGACCTCCTGTATACCAATCGAGGTAGTTAACATCTATGCCACCATGGCGCCCAGTAGGAGCAAGCGCTTTGTGTGTGATGAGTGCGACCTTCCTTGTCACATGGCATTCGTGGTGTGCTCCACATGGACACAACGTCAACCAGCGCACTGCACCATAAACACTCTGCCTCCAGAGTCACGTGACCCACAAAACCGCACTGGGAATTCACAAGCTTGGACTGTGAACCCACAAATCTAGGCTATGGAACACACAAACCTGAACTTGCAACCCCATAAATCAAGACCACGAGACCGCAAACCAAGACTCGGAATCGAGAAACCCGATCCGAATTATGAACCCAGCTTGGTCGCTCTATAAAACCTTTGGTCAATCACTCGGAGAGCATTGAAGTGCATGTCCACGAGACAGATGATTCATTGATAAAACTCGTACACTCCGTTTGCTGTAGTGACGCTTTCAAATCGTCTGTCAGTAACATGCCATCACGATGACTCTCGTAACGATGCGTACAGTGACCAAGGGGTTAAACCAATAATCTATGAATTAATCGTACAAAGACAACCGTTTACTCGTACGAGTGCTGCCGTCGCTGCTACCTGTCGGTTTCCATCCTGATAAATGTTAAAAATAGTTAATTGACCGACGACACCGTATTATATACAGAGGACCGCAAAGCTTGGGAAATAATTTGGCACCGGCTCATTAGCTGGCTGCTGCTGCTGCTGCCATTCCCTGCCCACCTGTGGTTCCACTGCACTCCTCCCAGTCGCTCGCTCTCTCTGATCGAGTGAGCGAGTGAGCACTGCGCGGCGATGCCGCTACGACGTTACAAGTTCAAATCGTAATTTTGTTAAATATTGCCGAGGATCAAACTGACGTTTGGGAACACGTTTCAGGATCTGCGGAACATACATTTTTTTCAAACTTTGTTTTTCCCCATTTTCTTTCCGTCTTCCCTCTACAAGGCAATCTCTGACCCCAGCTCCGGCTGGCAGCTGAGCCCGGTCTTGGAGTGGCGTTCGGCGGCGGCCGACGCGAGCTCCCGGCTGCGTTGCCTGGAGGACCCGCGCGTCGAGCACTTCGCGGTGGTGTCCGAGCTGTTCGCCCTCGCGGGCCTCGGGCGCAAGGCGGCCCTGTTCGCGCGCGTCGCCGCCACGCTGTGCGTCTCGTCGGACAACCCGCAACGGCGAGACTGGCGCCGCTGCTACGGCCTCCTGGAGGGTGCTCTCAGCGGTCTGCGAGCGGCTAGCCTGGCGTCGGCGCTGCCCGCAGGTGCCCGCCGGCGTGTCGGACGCGAGCGGTGAAACGAATCGCGGGGGGGGGGACGGGCCGCTGGCTTCTTGCTGGTGATCGTCGATAGCCGAGTTCGGCTCGCGATTGCTCTTCGTGGGGTTCTGTGTCCCGCTAATCCAGTGCTTCTTAACCTTCACTGCAGCCTGGGACCCCTTGGGTTCTCAATCTTTGAAAATGTATCATGTTAATAAATACACAGGTCTGATGAAACAAAGTTTCCTGTACTTACGTGCCCGTTCTTAATTAGTTTTTCAATTATTTATCCCAACAAAATCTACAGGTGTGCGTGCACCCCAGGTCAAGAACCACTGTGCTAATTTACGGTTCGTTGAGCTCCAGCGCCCATAGTGTCAGGGTATAGGATTGCCACCTCTTGGGTACAAAACACACTGGGACGTATCACACGAAGAAGAAGATCTCACAATACCGGGAGCGTAGAGAATTACTTGTGAATGCGTTGTCATCAGTGGTGCACGAGTATTATTATTGTGATGATGCATTACGCAACTCGCACGTGCTGGGACTGGTCGTGTCCCGGCAAGGCTCACAGATATCCGGTACAGCGGCAACCTCCACAAGAGGACAATCCTGGGACGGCCAGGACAGGTGGCAATGCTATTACGGGGATGTCACAGCCTTAACTTGCGTACACAGTGGGTGAGAGCGAGGGCAGAACGCACGCACGATGTCGCGCCCTCTGTGTAGCGTTCAATGCTTGTTTGGGGTTTTTTTAACAGCGCCTGTATGCCCCCCTCCCCCTATTTCATTCAGCAAGGTCACGGATATGAGAATGTTGAGCTCTGTTAGCCTTGGCTTGCCCGTTAAACTCGAGCAAGCACTGTTAAATAAGTCCCCTGTGCACCTGTTACCTGCTCGTTCTACTGTGTATCTGGGACACTGTCAGTCACAGCCTATTGAGCAGCTGGCTGAACAATAATGGTTATTATCGTTCACTGCAAATGTACCCCACGTGACGATGCAAAACAAACAAACGTTTAAGTTAATTGATAAATAATTGATTACAAAAGAACAAGGTCGTGCACACACGTCGCGTGCTAACATCGACGTCGTCGCCGGAGTGTGGGTGAGAATGCGTCCCGCAGCGCGCGTGACACGTGGTGCGTTCCATCTGGCTCCGGGCTCTAAATCACATCCCACTCCCAACGGTGTCCAGGTGCAGACAGGCCTATCGCACTCATGAGACAGCGGGGTGCTTCCACAGCTATTTAATCACTTGCACTAATCACGTTGGCCACACCTGATATGATTGTTGTTGTCGGCCTGTAACTTCCAGTTACTGGGTAGCGCCGTCGCCCATTTCTTCCGTCCCTGTCCAGTGGTGGCCTCCGAGCTCTGCGATTTCGTCTCTCGCATCTCTCAGCCGACCTTCAAAGTGGAGAGTCAAAGTGATTTCTTGTTCAACTCGAACGACTCGCCTTGCTGCGGGGAGCATTGGGGCGGTGATCATCTCCTCTGAACGGCGCCGAGCCAGTGGTGGAAATTCCACGTTCCTATGGTGGAGCCGGGGGGGGGGGGGCGGAGTAGCTCCATAGGACAATCACTTTTGATTTCCCCACAAAGCGGTACTCATTGTAATGGCCGTAGAAGGATGATTAGTTGAGTCAACCCCAAACCGGGATTTGCGCTCCGCTCTGTTGTGCCACCTGGCGGGTTTATCTTGGCGTGTCATTCGTGCCGGTTTTGTACGGGGGGGGGGGGGGGGTGAGGAATAACCTGCTCTCATTTTTTTTCACGGCAAGAATTTCCCCTCTTCGATTCTCTCCCGCATCCCACAACGACTTCACCACCGAGGTGTTTGTTTTTCGCTGCCGCGCACAGGAGCAAGTGGTGGTGGTGGCGTGGGCTGGCCGTGCATCAGGGCGAACATCCTGCAGCTGCTCTCCCAAGCGGCTTGGATGCTGGGCGACTACGCACTGGCGGCCGGGCACCTGGCGTTCCTCATCCACGATATGATGGAACACCTCACCGCAGATGGTAACCCCCCCCCCCCCCCCCCCCCCACCGTTTGTGTAGCATCAGCACAGCGCTCCTCTTACCCGTTTTGTAAATATAAAAAAAACGCGTGTTTTGCCTTCCATATTCTCACCCACATCGATGGAGTTCAAATCACTGACTGCTTTTAGATTAAATTATTAATAATAGCCTGGTTGGGCACTGGAACCGTGGTGTCCCGGATAGTATGAGGACCATTGATAAGACTAAGTTATATATATTAAAAAAAGATTCATTATTTTAATGGTTATACATGTTGTTTGTCTCTTAACCGTGATTCTTTAAGATGTTGCTGTTAGTTGTAATCACAGGTTAGAAACACTTCGTCTGCGCTGCCATCCATTTGTTTGCGTAAAAAGTGGGCTAAGTTTTGCCCAATCCTGACCAGTTGGCTTAATTTTTATTAATAAAACTAAACTAAACACATCGGACGTCGATTCGATTTGATCTGCCGTGCCAGGTACTCGATTTGAGGCCGAGTCTATCTAAGGGAGGCCCAGAACCCGATCAGACATCACCGATTTGTATTTGAATAGACGCCACCACAGCGGTGTAGCGGTTGGCAGCGCCCTGGACTTGGCCTCCAGAGGTTGCCCCGTTGATTCGGATCTCCCGGCACAGTGGTCGAATCAACAGTGGCGGTTTCTTAAAAAAATTCTTCCCCCACCACCCACCGCCATTGATTTAATCAGCAGGGCACGCATGGTGGGGTAAAGCGTGGTTACCCCCCCCCCCCCCACCTCTTCGGAGGCGCACAGCCAACGTAGGAGAAGAGTCGGCCGCGTTGAGGCCAACTCGGTACTGCGTCCTCTCGCGCCGTTGTCTCGTGGAGACTCCTGCGCTCCTGGTAGCGGTAGCGGTGGTGGGAGCGAGTGGTTAGTAGGGTAGCGCCCCTGGCTTTCGCCGCGAGGACCAGGCAAGCCGCCACCGCTCTCGCGTCTCGCACCGTCCAGAAACGAAGTCCATCGCGGGGCAGCTGCGTCTCTGCGCCGCTGCGTGCGGAGAGGACACGGGGCCCCCCGGGGATGAGCGCGTGGGACCCCCGCTGCCTCTCGTGTCGTTCACTCGGCTTCCCGTGCTCAGGTGGGGACTTTTATTTACTTAAACTATTTCAACTGTTTTAAACGCTTTATTTTATTTTGCCAGGTAAGGCCCACTGAGCTGCATAGCTCGTCTTCAGAAGCGACCAGGCCACCAATTGATAAGCTCAAGTTGCTTATCGCGCGGAAATTTCCGTTGATTCTAAATGTGGAGGGGAAAACCCGGGGGGCACGTCGAGAACAATTCACGTGACCACAGGGAGAGAGACATGCAAACTCAAATATATACACGTGTCAGGGTCGGTATCAAACCCACGACCTCCTGCATACCAGGCGAGGTAGCTAACATCCCACCACCGTGGCGCCACTTAAAATATAGAAATACACAAGTTGTGTTTCCGTGGTTGAACACGTTATGGTCGAGACGAAACAGACGGCGTCTGGCAGTGAGTCCACGACGCGGGTTGGCGACGGGTGACGTTCACCGGAACGCGAACTCACCGTGGTGATGGAGTCGTCACCTTGCGTCCGTGGTGCGCGCGGCTCGCAGGAGCATCGGCGCGGTGCGCCCACCGCTGCACCTCCTGCCCGTGCTGGAGGCCGTCACGCCGATCCGCAAGAACAGCGTGGGCTCTCCCTTCATCTACACGCCCATTAAGACGAAAGCGCAGAGACAGCCGGAGAACTTCGAGAAAGTCGGTGAGGAGCACATTTACCGTCCCTCGTCACGATGTGCCGCGTTACGAACCCGGCGACCCGAGTCCGCTTCCCGCTCGCGGCCAACACCGCTGACGATTATCTGAACCGGTCCTGGATCTCCGCTAGGTCGACTCGGACCCAAATGAGTAACTGGTGCCGTATGTTAACTTTGCCACGAGGGAGACAAAGGCGGGTGGATGTGGTGCTAGCAACCCACTATCTGATGTGCCGTGCCGGCCTCCATAGGTGCTTGCTAACAGCGCTTGCCCCAACAGTCTGTTAAGGTATAAATGGGGGCTCTCTCTGTCTCTGTCTTTTCGTATGTGTACAGTCCTTTGTCAATCCACTGCTGGATGAGAGCCTCCCAGTGTTCTGCAGGTCGTGGGGGCGCTGATTGACCATACTTCACCACGCTGGTCAGTGCGCGTTGGTGAAGGCAGAAAGCCTAGACGTGGGAGCAAAGCAGTTCAGTACAACAAGTGGATTTTAGCTGCGATGCCTTTTGTGCCCCACCCCACCGTGTGGCCCCGCAGCAGCCTATAGCAACCTGCTGTGCACAGTGGCCGCCCAATACAAATCAATCTGCAGGCTCAAGCCTGCTTAGCTTCGGAGGCCCGATGAGTTGCAGGTGCGTTCCGCGTGATTTGGTCATGAAATGCGCATAAAAAAACGCGGCGATCCATTTAAATATACCACGCCAAAATAGTTGCGAGAAAATGCGTCGAGAAGACGCGTTTATCGCAAAGCCCTCTGCGTGTCTCTTCCCGCCCATCTCAATATGCCCACTATCATCAAATTCCGTGACACGTGTCGTCCCGATGGACGTTGCCCAACACAGCTGGCACGATTTGCTTGCAGCGTTCAAATGAAGCTCGGGGTCGTTAGCAATCAGTGGGGTGTCGGTAAATGTATCACTGTGAAATGCAAATATTTAATTTGCCACGGTTGCTGAGCACAGACTCAGTGGCCCAACACCACAACGAAGCAGTCAGCAACGAGCGGCGCTATGACGCTTGTGACAGATAAGGGTCGACACGGCTCGTGAACCGAGCGCGGTGATTATATGTAGAGACGATCGGAGGAGAATTGCAAAGTCGAGAAGTGCGGCGAGAAGAAGCGAGGCGAACGAATGACCGCGGTGCGTGAATGCGCCGGCTCGCGTCGCTCCCCCGTGGCTCATCGCGTGCGCTTGGGAGCGACGGTTATTGACGAGCCCTTTGTGACGTCGAAGTGATGAGCCTCGGCGAGAGGAGAGGCCAACAGTTTGCACGCAACTCTCTCTCTAGCGCGCACGCGCGGACAGGAGAAACAATCCCTCCACACTCGAACTGCTTATTGAGCCAGTTTTTTGTTTGTTTGTTGCTTTTGTTCAAATTTAAATTAAATCCTGCAAATGGCTGCGGTAAATCATGCAGCCCGAGAGCGCTCGCGAAGGAGGGCCCCCACCCCCCCCCACCAACCCCCCCCCCCCCTCCCAGGGTCTATGCATGGCCGCTCTATATGGATCCTTTAACCCTTTTTTGTGCGGAGGTTTTATCGCGGTGGGGGGGCTGCACAGCTCCTCTGGCGTGTTGTCGGGCTGCGTGCCGCGTGCTGTTCGGCACGGTGCCCGACGTTTCGGCCCGCTAGCTTGGGGGATCCCCTTCTGGAATCGAATTATACGAGAAGCTCGTGTTTTTTTTTCCTTTCTATTTGTTGTTGCAACGGTCTTGCACGCCGACTGGACATCTGTGAAACAAATAGCTTCATAGCTCAGCGGATTCCTCCACTATAAATAAATATTCTGTTGTCGATTTTAAAGAAGCTGGCTCGGCTCTACGGCATAGCCACAACAACGAACGCACGGGGAAGTACGTTGAGACAAAATAAAATCTAATTGAAAGAATGTTCGTAAACATCGATCGCTTGATTCTGATTAACCCATTCGCCGCCCTCGTGTGCATCGTCGCCGCTCCTTAGCCTCTCCCCCTCGTGTGTGCAGCCCCACGTCTGTGCAGCCCCACGTCTGTGCAGCCCCACGTCTGTGCTCGTGCCAACTGCTGTCTCCAATCTTATGCGGGCGCGAGCGCTTTCTTGGCCTGCGCGTTGCTGCTCCGCCAGTCCCCGCACGCCGCTTCCGGGGCAATTCTTAAACAACAAAATAAGAATTCCGAGTCGAATCCTCGCCCATTTCACCACTGCCTCCAAAAGAACAACGTTGTATTTTCTTCTTCACAATCATCATCAGCCGTGACTGATCCACTGCTGTTGGACGAAGGCTTCCCTTGGCCGTCCCCCACTTTGCACTGTCTTGCAGCGGGACAATCTAGCCGGCACCTGCACACCCGTTGATATCATCGCTCCGTCTCCATGACGGACGTTCCCCCCTTCCTTTGGCCCCTGCCACACCGAACGTCAAGCTACATTCTGCACATGCAATAACGAGAATTTCAGAATTAGTATTGGCCCAGGCAGGTCCGGCAGGTCTGGGTGTTTGATCATTGTTTTACATGGTTTTTTGTCATTATGCCAGTCTATCGTTGCAGTGGAGAGAGGACGTGAGCGGTTTTGTCCCCGAGCCTATGACGGCTCGTGGCAATCCCTCGTGGCAATCCTTCGTGGCAATGCCTCGTGAGAATCCCTCGTGAGAATCCATCGTGAGAATACCTCGTGGCAATCGAACTGCTCGTTGTGTTTAGTTTGTTGTCCTTCCTCCGCGCCTCCAATTATCACAGTTGGCTCCGTCCGGTGCAAAATAAGTTCTCCACACATCCAATAAATACCACCCCTCGTTACAATCCCTCATTGGCAATCCCTCGGCCCCCTTTACCTGAGCTTTTCCCTTCTGCACACCACCCCATGCGTCCACTCTAAACGGCCGAGTAATGGAAATCGATATTGACAGCCGCTACTCTTACGCTAAAAGGCACTTGTTTCCCGCTGACCGCTGCTCGCCGCGCTGCGGAGATAACTCTCTGTGCCAGAGAATTAAACATCACCAGTTTTTATGCGCACCCACAAATCCTTTTTGGTAAAACTAAGACAAAGATCCCCCCCTGAATAGCCTTAACAGACTGTTAGGGCAAGTGCTGTTAGCGGGCAACTATGAATGCCGGCTCGGCACACGAGGGGGTGGGTGGCCAGCAATACGCCCGGCCACCTTTGTCTTCTTATTGGCGATGTTTACACAACGCTCCAGGTTCTGGTTTAGGCCGAGTCGACCTAGGGGAGGTCCGGGACCGGTTCAGATAATCGTCACTGGTTTTGGCTGTGAGCGGGAATCGAACTCGGGTCGCCGGGTTCGTAGCGGAACGTGCTAATCGCTACACCACCGCTCCCCAAGCATAAAAGACACACACAAGCACACATACACAAACCATGCCACGCATGCACTCGTTCACACACCGGCACACACACCATTGTTCTTTCTTACGGAAATTAATAGTCTGTAAACGGAAGTTTTTTTTTCTTAAGTTGAGATTTGGAAATTACGCATATATATTTAGTTTTGCAGACAAATGACACGTTCATTAATCTGTATTCCTCCAGGTTACCACAATGCACCAAAGACGTAATATTTGTTCAAAGAGTCTTCGCCAGAGAAGGGGCTCGGAATTCGTAATAAACCCCCGGCAAAAAAATGGAATTGAATCGCCTCCTTTGACTTTCAGATTTCAGCACCGTGGAGAACGAGGGATTTCAAGTGGAGCTCATTGTCGCGAATCCGCTGCCGTTGGAGTTGCTCGTTGAGAACATTGTAAGTGACGGATCGCCGCGCGCATCGCCACTGGGGTGGCGTTTACGAGTCCTGCCTTTTAGCGGTAGTTTGGAGATCGCGGTGAGATTGGTTTGGAGATTTAGCGACGTAATTTTGCCCTGCTATTCATGCACAAGTGCGTATGCAACCAAGGGTGTTGAGGTCAGAAAGCGCAGGTGGGTGGTGGTGGTGGTGGTGGTGGTGGTTGCGGCGAGGGACTAATAAGATCTGGTGAATACACCGGCTGGAATTCACACTCCGCCGACGGAGGCTAACGTATCGAAGCCGGACTTGGCGAGAGAGCGCCTGTGGCTGACTGTCGGAGCATGTGGCTGACTGTTGGAGGGCGTGGCTTACTGGCAGAGTGTGTATCTGACTGGTGGAGTGGCTGGCTTACGGAATGCATGGCTGGCTGGCTGAGTGCGTGGCTAACTGGCTGAGTGCATGGCTGGCTTACGGAGTGCGTGACTGACTGGCGGGGTGCGTGGCTGACTGGCTGAGTGCCTGGCTGGCAGGCGGATTTGCCTGGCTGGCTGGCTGAGTGTGTGGCTGACTGGCGCACTCGTTGAACCAAAGCCATAACGAATGTCCATCCGCCGTGTGCTCTGCTGCAAGCGTGGCAACCTTGTTCTTTCTTGTTTTTGGGACGTAAATTTTGGTAACGAAAATGTAATATATATAGCTGGGTTATTTGGTCACCTCGCACATAGCCATGTTGGAGGTAATGGATTCACACGGATAACTTTTTTTTTCTACCAACTTTTTATTTTACCAAGTCAGGCCCACTGAGCTTTACAGCTCTTTTTCAGAAGCTACCTGGCCTCAACGAAGTGGCTTATCCCTCCTAATGCGGAGGGAAAAACTGGAGGACCTGGAGAAAATCCACTCGACCACGGGGAGAACATGCAAACTCCAAATATACAATCGTCAGGGTCGGGATCGAACCCAGAACTTCCTGTATACTAAGCAAGGCAGTTAACATCTCGCCACCGCATTGTCACATCGCCTGACCGAATCTTCGGATGACGGAAGATTCTGGTAATCGCTGTTCGACTGACACCGCAGCAGTCTTGCGAAACCCGACACACGTGATCTCGCGCTGCAAAAGAATCGCGGCGACGATGAAGGGCACAATGATCGCCCCCCACCCCGATGTAGCGCAGGCGCTCATGAGCGCCATCTCGTCGCAGGAGCTGCTGATGGAGGGGCCCGACCGTGACGTCGTCCCTGTGTCCGCGACGCTGCCTGCTCACGGCGAGCCCTTCCCGCTGAGGCTGGAGGTCGTCGCCAGACAGCCGGGGCAGCTCACGATCACGGGTGAGCGTCTAACGACGGACGCCTGCACAGCTCACCGAGAGCACCTGCGCCACCGAATACGAGTTTTTACTATCCCCCCGCCATGCTCATTCTCCTCTGCTGCACCCATAGTCTGGAGAAGTCCCTTCTCCCAGCCTTCCCTGCTGTCGAGTGCCTGCCCACGTTACATAATCTAGGCTCAAGAACTTCCTGTTATCTTATGCATATGTCTGACTGCCCACTGTCTCTCCAGAATATAAATACACCCTGATATTCCCATGCAAATGAACAAGTAGGATATCGCGACCAAAATTATCCGTAATTAAATTTTTTTTTTGCGTTAGATCACGTAAATATAAATGGTGTTATACCCCGCTATGGATTTAATGACACATTTATATTTTCGCGATCTCACCAAAAACACCTTTATTATTCCCATCCAGCCTCCTGAGAAGTGGTCGAGATTGGCTGCATCTTTAATTCCTCCGCCCAATCAGCTCAAGCTGCCTCCTCCACCCTTCGCCACCTTCAATTTTCTTCATTTCACCACAAAAGCCTCCCCCTTCCTTTTCAGTCATCAAGCAGCAACTTTATTTTTCTACCCCTCTTTTTAACCAACATCCTTCTTTCAGAGCTTTCTTCATCGAACTCTTACCTCAAAGAATGTTCTCCATCGAAGAAACCGTTGCCTTCACTGGATCACTATAATTAAACTAAGCGAAACACTAAACTGTGTTTAAATTTTACCAGGTAAGGCCCACTGAGCTATGTAGCTCTTTTTTCAGAAGCGACCTGGCCACCAATGACAGCTCATTATCACGTGGACATTCATAGCAGCCAAATACTCTCAAACGCATAAATGTGGAGGGCAAAACCGGAGGACCCGGAGACAAATCCACCCGACCACGGCGACAATACGCAAACTCCAAATATAGATGCGGCACCGCGGTGTCCCTAATTCGACGCGTCTCCTCCTGAAAACCCTCTTAACGAACTTACTCCATCCCGCTGGTGTTTTTGTCAGTTTGAGAAAATCAACCAAAAATCGCTCGAATAATAAATTGACACTGTGACCTGGCCCTTTCACCGCTCACGTCAGGCTACCGAACCACGGTGCTGGGGATTTCCAGCGACGTTCCTCTGAAGAGCGTGCCGGGCCTTCGGCAGACGCGGCTGGAAGTGGACGTCGTGCCAGCCCTGCCGGTGGTAGAGCTCGGGGTCACTTGTGAGAGGTAACGGCAGTGCGCCAAGACGTGGCCTTGCGTGGAGTTGGGGGGGGGAGGGGTCATGCAAACGCTCGGAGGGTCGCGGCGCGACACAGTCCACGCTTAACAAACTTTAGACAGCTATGTACGTACGTATGTATGTTGAACTTCTCTCGCACCGTACGTAGCCAACCGTGCTAATCGGTGGTTCAGGGGAAGGACAGCAAACTAAATACAAAAACAGTTCCAAAGAAATGAGTTTTCAATCTAGATTTAATAGTGCATCGCTCCAGTGGCTTCCTAATATCGGAAGGAAGAGCGTTCCAGACGGTCGCAGGAGCGCATCTGAAAGCACGCTTTGCAGTGCATCTGAAAGACAGATGTCAAACGCCAAACAGAATGAGTGACAATGCAATCTGCTCTTTTCTATTGTGCATTCTCGCACCTCCGACTAGGACGATTGGCTACGTACGGTGCGAAATAAGTTGAACACGTTCTGCTCTGGCACTCCACCACCTGGGTGTATATAAGGAAAGGCTGCAAAGTCCATCGCTTAATTGCAGTCATCGTTTCATGTTGCAGACGGTGCGTGCATCGACAATTACTGAACTGAAGCAGACTGAGCATGGGCACATTTTTTTGTTCGCAGTTGCGGGCGTTCGGCAGACTTTTGTTAATCTTTGAAGAAAATCCGCCACCGGTGTTAAATATTGTTTGACTTGACTCTTAAGAATTTGGCAGGGGGCAGGGCTCCGTCCACCTTCAGTCCCCCCGAGCCGACGGGGATGGTTAACGGCCTCGTTACATCAGAGGGGGCCCCTCTGCGTTTAGCCGCCAATGCGGCCGAACGGGAAAATTACCGCGACGTGGAAATTGCAGAGCGAGTCACTTTAGGGAGCCCCCTGTTGCAAATGAACGGCACGTGATTTAGCGGGGCTGTCATTGCCACCGCTGAGCCTGGTAGGAAACAATCCTCGGGTATTTCACACAAGCAGCAGACGCTAAATCTTTTGGGCGTCGAGTTTCATAACTCTTTTTCTTTAGAAAAATGGAATCACCGTGAATTTTTTTTGCGTGGAAAAAAAAGGTTTTGTCTCAAATGTACTTAAAGAATCAACGGTTTTGTTCAATCGCCTGGTACGTTTAACCATCTGGCCCAAAAAAAAAAGTATCAATGGGAGCGGGCGTTTCGCGAGGATGCCAATTTGGCTCGTGCGTGATCATTAAAGAGCGCTCCTCATTTGCAGCGACGGGAAGAATGAATCATTCGTAGCAGCCCCAGGCGAGGAGCTGGGCCTCGTGGCGTTTGACGGAGAGACTCGGCAGCTGCTCGTGACGATAACGAACGTGGGAATGGTTCCGCTGGAAAAACTTGAGCTGGACGGGGCGATGGAACGGACCCGCCAAGGTGATGCCGAAACCCCGCACCCCCTCTCCACCCCCCCCCCCCCCCCCGGGCGCGAACCGCTCGCGTGCAAATAGCCCAGGTGTTATCCGAGGTAACCCGCTACCAATGCGCACTGAAGCCGATGGTTGTAACAGGAGGGGCCCTAGGCAGATGGGGGTGGGAGCCAAGGTGGGAGAGTTCGGAAGGGGCGGTGGAGGCACCGCAATAAACATGAATTTATCATCACGCGTGCGCAATTTTAAGTTGCGCTCGCGGTGAGCGTGTTCCTCCCGAGTTCCCTCCGATGTGCACCCTCGGGGGGGCGTGGGGCAACTGGTTCTGCTTCTGTGGTGGTGGGAGAGTGAGAGGGGTCTGCTTGCAGTAGAGCAAGTAGGATGGGTTGAAGCGCCAGATCAATGCAGAGGGCTTCAGGGATCTGCCGCCCCTGGTCTCGTATTATAAGTAACCCTCAATACCCTTCTCCAAATGATGTACTTGTATATAGTGCAATATTAGCGGCTCCTTTATAAATCCTATTGTGCAAATTTGTCATTAATTAAAGCCACAGCATCACTATGTGTATTACTACCGGTTATGTCACGAAATGAAAGACAAAATGCCCACTCTTAACTTTGATTCGGCTTCACAATTCGTAAGTACTTGACATTCACATAAACGAAACAAAAGAATCAAGCTGCATACCGGGGGGGAGGACTGTGTGGCTTTATCGGGCATGGGGGGTAGTGAAACAGTCAAGGGCAATTTGTTGAACGTACAAAGAGGACCTCCCCCTTCCCCTCCCAGAACGTTAAATGCCCCTCCCCCTTAAAACTCAGCCTGGACCTGGTTTGTCTCAACTGGCTATCGCTTTTTTTTTACTGGGTAAGGCCCACTGAGCTATATAGCTCTTTTTTTCAGGACTGACCCGGCCACAAATGGTAGCTCAACGAAGTGACTCATCATGATGTGGAAATTTTTAGCAGTCGAATACTCTCAACGCATGTTGTTTCTACATGTGCATGGAATAACCGGAGGTCCCGGAAAAAAATCCACACGATCATGGGGAGCCAGACATGGAAACTCGCGATTGAACCCACGAACCTTTCGCACACCAGGCGAGGCAGTTAACATCTCGCCACCCCGGTGCGTTTGCTCGGCAGACGAGCCTTGTGAGCGGAGGGACGACACGGTGTGGGCCTGGCAGCACGAGATGTTGTCCCGGCTGCCGCTGCAGGCCGGAGAGGCCCTCACGTTCCCGCTGCACGTGCACGCGCTCATCGGCGGCACCTCGGCGGAGCAGCCGAGCCGGCAGGAGCCGCGCGGCCACGGTGAGGCCCTCGGCGGTTTTGCTTCCCCGACGTGTAACGCATTTTGCCAAGCGCCACCGCCGCCGCTGTGCGATGGCAAGCGCTGGACTTGTACGTATGTATGTATATTCTTGGTTCTTTCGGTAAAGTCACGTGACTTTACCGAAAGAACCAAGAATATGAATCCCTGCAGTCAGGAAAGCTTTAAATCGTACGTGTGTATGTTGAAGTTCTTTCGTACTGTACGTAGCCAATCGTGCTAATAAGAGGTGCAGTACTTGCAGCCTCAACCTGGCCGGTTTGATTCCATTTATCCGTTGAAACAACGGGGCCAGTTTCTCAAATCGCCTTGCCTCTATGCGCCTGACAGAATATTATAACGGGTAATGCCACAGTTTGTCAATCAGCAGGTCACGTGTGGCGTGGCAGAGCGTGGGTACGCCCACCTCTTCCAACATTTCTGGTCGAAAAGGAAGAGTAGGCCAAATACCCTGCAGAGCTGCCCTCCAGTTGGGGAGGCCCTTCTGCCGGCAATGGTGCGAGTGAGCAATTGCAATGCTGCACCTTTACCTTTAAGGGTCACAGTGGCAATTAGCGAACATAATCAGTAACTGTTCTGAAAAGAGTGTGCTGACAAGGATCCATTAAGTGTGCTTGCATTATACACGGAGACAAATACACAGGTGACCTTTGGATATAACCGGGTAAGAGACGATTAGCGCACTGCGCAATGGACCCTGCAACCTGAGTTCAGTGTTTCTGCTACGGCTGGCAATCTTGTGGCGAGTGTTCTCAACAGGTACACGGAGTAGCACCTTCACCAGCCACCACTGACTTGCGTGGTGAAGTATAGTCAAACAACGCCCATGGCTGACAATGCCTGGGCAGGGGTCTTCATCCCAGATATACTCATGTTTATTTCCATTTATTCCACGTTTAATAGTAGCAGTATGTGTAAGAAGTTATTACGTTTAAAAAAAAAAGATTTGCATCCGAGCTCCAACAATAATTGGCTGTTTAAAAAAAAATATCCACGCTTCCTGTCTAACGACTAAAACTAATGAACGATTGAGAATTTGTATTATATTCCTCTTCAAGACATTACAACAAATTTACTTTTAGGTTTGCTCATCAATGGGCTTTGGTACGGAGCTACATCAGGAACTGAAATTCAGCTCACGACGAGGCACGTGGAGCGAAGCGTCGGACACAGTGTCGAACAACACGTGGAGAGCCTTGCGCGGTGGCGCCATTTTATTTTTTTACAATTCTCGATCTATCCCAGAGGTGGCGTTGTAGAGCCTCGTGGGCTTTTGAGATCCCTCCAGGCGCGATCTCGCCACGCTCGCAGGGGAACGGCGCAACGAGCAAAAACACATCAGCGATTCCCAATTGCCCTTTTTTTTTCAAACGGTGCCCCTCCCTGGGGGCCCGGACACTATGGTTCCTACACCACCCTTGTGAGCACACGGTCACCGTTGCTGATTTATTTTCTACCTACCGTGACTTTACCGAAATAACCATAGATAATGGATTCCTGCAAGTCGCGAAAGCTTCAAATCAAGAAGGAAGAATGGCAAACTTGGACACCGCGTTTGTGTTCTAAAATGTCTGGTTCTTTTGGGTTGTTCTTCCATTCCTCCCCCTCCCCGTTTCTTCCATTTTGTCACCCAGCCCCGTTAACAACTCCCCTACCGATCGTAACCCCTGCCGTGGTAGGGCTGCGAGCCCGAACGCCTCGTTCAATCCCGAATATTTGAGGGTGCGTTGTTCTGAGCGTGTTAGACGTTACCCGTTGTTTTTCCCCTCCTTTTGAAATCCACATTGTATCCTGGGTTTTTTAATGGCAATAAATGTTGTTGGTGTATATATACACATAGTATATATACTGTGTGTGTATATATATATCTTCTTCTTTAGTGCTGCCTAACGGCGTGTGCGACTTCACGATGATATTGGTCCCGGTCTAGCACGGCGTGTAGAGTTTGTGCTGTTGTTAATTGTAGCCATGTTTTGATGTTACTGAGCCATGTCGTTTTTGGCTGTCCTGGTCGTTTTTTCCCTTCGATTTTTCCTTCCAGGATTTGCTTTAATAGCTGGTATTTGTGGTCGTTTCGGGCAATGTGGCCTAGGTAGTAACACTTCCTGCTAATGATGGTCTTCAGCAGTTGCCTGTCAGTGCCCATATCTTGCACAACTTGTGTATTGGTGGTTTTGGCTGTCCATGGGGTTTTCAGCATTCTTCGGTACAGCCACTTCTCGAAAGCTTCGAACCTTTTTGTTGCTGTAGTTGTCAGTGTCCACGTCTCTACTCCGTACAGCAAAATTGACCAGATGTAGTATACACGCAATAAATATATAAAATGGTGCCCTTCTGTCCCCCAGACTGCGAGTGCCTGAGCCGGCTTCACGGTGCGCCTGAGGAGGCCGACGGGATGAAGAGGCGAGCGGGGTCCCGAGAGCCGGCGGGGCACGTTGACACGAAAGAGCCTTTGAAGGTGAGGGACGGGGGGGGGGATGGCCACGAGGGTGGCTCTCGAGACAACCAGCCGAAACCACGGGTTTTCGCTGCCTCCAAAATCTCAACGAGTGCCCGAGGCAGCCCTGAGGCAATGCTGAGGATTCCACGTTACCTGTGGTCGGGAGGATTGGCTCCTGCGCTGGTTTTATGAGGATCGTCCCCTTCTTGAGACAACTCTTCTGTCCTGGTGAAGTCTCCCTAAGCCTTCCCGGGACATTCAAAGTCCCAGCTTTTTTGTCGGTTATGTGATGATGCATGACTCAGAACAATGTATTGACGACACGTGTAGTTATGCCATCTCCTGCTATTTGTGAGATTTTTTTTGGATCCCCATCACGTGTGTCCCGGTTTTTTGTGTGTGTGTGTATACCTCACTGGCGTCAACCCTTGTGGCGTTGCAGCCAGGGGACTGGTCATCCTTCGATGAGAGCTGTTTAGCTCAGTGGGACTTACTCGCCCAACACAAAAACAGATGTGAAGGCCGGGTCTGAGCGTGAGCTCCCCGCAAAGCGCTACTCCATTTGTAATAACCACCCCCCCCCCCCCCCGAGAGGGATAAAGGGTCAAGTGGGCCCTTGATCAGGTTTTGATCTTATAACGTTCTCCGTGTGAGGTGTGCACCTTGCCCCATGGCATCAACCAGGCTGGTATCAAGAGGGCCTCAATATGACTTCCACCGTCTGTGCCTTGATGATACAAGGCACCTGTTTGTGCCTTCCTAGGACTAGATGTACGGTTTTTCTTAATTCAGATTTTACCAGGTAAAGCCCACTGAACTATTAGCTCTTTTCAGAAGCGACCTGGACACAATTGATAGCTCAACAAAGTGGCTTATCATGTAGAAATGTAGAGCAGCTAAATATGTATCTGAGATACCAGAGCAGAAACTAATGCCCGTACATCCCTCCTCTACCACCAGCCACCCCCACCCACTGCACCCCCTCCCCCCCCCCACTGCCAATTCCACTTAACCCCAGCCCAGCTGCTCTGCCTTTCTTCCCGAGTGCAAACTCTGCAGTCCGCATGGACGGACTGACAATGACGGACTGGAACATCAGAGTGTGGTGCGTGCCGGGGTGCCGGCCTTAGCCGTGCCCTTTTCAGGTGGCATCACTGCGGCCGGATTAAGCCAGGGGCTTTGGGGAGTTAGACCCCAGGGGGCCTCGAATATTAAGCACCCCCCCCCCCCCCCGCAAAAAAAAATATACTCCTGCCTTGCTGCCTTGCAAACCTTTTAAAGCAGTCTGCATCAGCAGCAGAATGTGCTTTCCCACCTGATGACGGACGCTTGTGTTGCGCCCGAAACGTCGTGATTTATTTTATTTTATACCTACGTGACTTTACCGAAAGAACCAAAGAGTATGCCTTGCAATTGTTAAAATGCAATTCTGTAGCACGGTGATAAATCTTACATGGTAATTTGGTAATTAAATCCATAGCGGCACTGTGTGCATTATTACCAGTCGTATGCTGGAATTAAATAGTTTCTGTGAATGTTTTAAACTTTTGATTAGCTTATAATAATTCTTACATCATGTTAAAAAAAAAAAAACTCCGAACTGAAATAACAAGTGGACAGCAATGCATGCCTTTGGCATCGTCGGGGAATTGATGATGGTGGTGGTAAAGCAATCAAGGGAAGGAATGTAAATGGGCAAAGAAGCCAACCGTGCTCATCGGAGGTGCGGGACAAGGACAATAAACTTAACACAACAAAGCAGTTTTAAATAAATTAGTTTTCATTTTCGATTCAAAGCTTTCGTGACTGCAGGGATTCATCTTCTTGGTTCTTTCGGTGAAGTCACGTAGAAGGGAAATAATAAAATAAATAAAATAAAACTTAATCAAATATGTTATGTTTTATTTGTATTATTTTATTATTATAAAATAGTATTAAAATAATATTATTATTTAATTATTATAAAATAATACAAATAAAATATTTTATTATGTTTTATTTTTTTATTTTTTTATTTCCCTTCTACGTGGCTTTACCGAAAGAACCAAGAAGATAAATTAGTTTTCAATCAAGACGATTTAAAATTGCATAGCTCCAGTGGCTTCTTAATACCGGAAGGATGGGCGTTCCAGTCGGCCGTAGAAGCGCGTCTGACGGCTTGCGATGCGGTGAGCGGTGACCGCCTCAGTTCGATGGCCAGCCAAAAGCCGCTGTTGCTGCGAGACTGAGAACGTAACAGGGCAGAGACGTCATACCTGACTCACCGGCGGTCGAGAGCTGTGACGGAGCGCCGGAGTGGCAGCCAAAGGGAGCTGCACTTTGCCAAGAGGCCGTTCACTGTGGAGACGGAGCAGTTTATTAAGCTTGTGTGCGGGAGCTGTATGGAATGTTTGCATCACCACACCGTCAGAGATGGTGATGGCTTGAGGAGACCTTCTGCTAGAGCCCTTGGTCCACGAGTACATAGATCATGAATGATGATGCATGGATTTTGATGATTATGATATTGACGATGCTCTAGGCCAATATCTATAAATGATGGTAAGATCATTCTGTCGGCCGAATCTCTCTCTCTCTCTCTCGCCTACGCGCGTACGTTTCACGTGAGGAAAGATGGTTTGATGGAATCAGATGGCAGGTTGTTAGATCGGGGACCATTTTAGACCGACTCATCTTCACCTTTTGTGTCACGAGACGAACATCGACAGTGCGGGGGGCGAAGGCGAAATGCGTTAATCGCAAATTGGGATTTTCGTGTTTGTTGTTGTTGTTGTTTGGAAATGAAAGTGCTGAGCTCATGCCCTGGCACCGGCCGCCAGAACATGCCACTCGTTTCTGCTGAGGCATTGGATTTTGCACACACGCACACGCAAAGACAAAGACCACCCGTATAGCCTTAACAGACTGGTGGAGCAAGTGCTGTTCACGAGCACCTATGAAGGCCGGAACAGCACACGAGGGGGTGGATGGCCAGCAAACACGCCCGGCCGCCTTTGTCTCTCCAGTGGCGATGTTTACGCACCACACCAGATGTTCATTTGAGGCTGTTTCGACCTAGGGGAGGCCCAGGACCGGTTCAGATAATTGTCACTGGTGTTGGCCGTGAGCGGGAATCGAACTCGGGTTGCCAGGTTCGTAGCGCAGCGCGCTAACTGCTACACTACCGCTCCCCACCACACACACCGCACACACACACACACCGCACACACACCACACATACACACACACACCGCACACACACCGCACGCACAAACACCCCACACACACACTGCACACACTCACGTACCGCACACACGCAAGCACATTTTTTATATTTTGAGAGAAAGGCCATTTTTTTGTGAATCGCGTGACAGTCAAGATTGTAGCGGTATTTCTGCAGTGCTTGGATGCTAACGGTGGTGACTGTGAATCCATAAAACATGGTTTGCGTTGTGCTACTGCTGCTATGGTATGTGAAGACGTGGTTTCTGCTATCAGTGTTGGACATCTGTGAAAAAGATCTTCATAGATCATCGGATTCCTCCAGTCTAAGTAATGATCCTGATTCTGATAGTACAGTATTTCCTCGTTATTCGCGAGGGACACATTCAGCAAATTTCGCGGATAATGATATTGGCCTACGAAAAGCTATCCTTTTAATGAACGGTCTTAAATGAATGCGTAAATAAGCTATAAAATAAATGAAAATTAACTCAACGCTTTATCTCTCAACATTTTATCTCATCGCATTCTCTCATCACTTTCTTTCTCTCCTCCCTTTCTCTCGCTACAGTCGTCGTGTAGAGTTCCAGATCCAATTCGCGGATAGCCAAAACCCCGGATAGCAAGTTCGTGAATAACGAGGGAAAGCTTCACTGAGTCTCAAAACACCGTTTCTCACGAGGTTCCTGCCACGTCTTTGCAGTACGGAGCGATGTTTTGCCGTGCGTGTGATCCCAATGTAGAAGTTTGCAGGTGTTCTACTTCGTTTTTAAGCATTGGTGATGTCTGACCAACAATGGCAGTTACTGTGTATGCTTTTTTTTTAGTCGTGCAGTACAGTGGGGGAATGTGCAAACCTCCACACAGGAAGGCACCCGAGTCAGGAATCGAACCCAGGCCCCTTTGTCGCTGCGAGGCACGAGCGTGAACCATTGCGCCACCACTCTGCCTGCCCAGTGTTGGCATCCTTCAACGTTATGTTCGAGGTTATTTTCGAGGTCGTGACGCAAAGATTAATACATAATGAAGAAATTGTCGGCAATTTGACACGAACGTGCATATATATGGAACTCATTATGGTGGCTAAACTAAAGGTGCAGCCCTGCAATTCATTGCTCACACCACTGCTGGCAGAAGGGCCTCCAGTTGAGGAAGCTCTTGAGAGAGCTCCTGCAGGGGACATCCGGGCCTCGTCTTCCACGCTGGCGAGACGTGTACATATGGTGTGGTCCTTTGCCAATCCAGTGGTGGATGAAAGTCGCCCCATGTCGTGTCAAATGTGTGGGGGTTCTTTGATACTTCCCTGCGCTGATCGGTGCAGATTGGTGAGGGAGAGGGTAGTGACCACGACTGCTTCTCATCGAAGTCGCTCACTGGGTTCATTAGAACAGCACCGCTGTCCACTGGGACAGCCACACCACCTCACCAACGTGATATTACAAAATTACGTAATTATAACTATCATTATAAATAACTAACAGTTTTATTTACCAGCCATGTGGCTTATTACATGGAAATTCATAGCAGCCAAATGATCTACACGCGTGATGTTTATTCTAAATGTGGAGGGAGGGGGGGAGGGGGGAAACCGGAGGACCCGGAGAAAAATCCACACAACCACGGGGAGAGAAACATGCAAACTCCAGATATACATTCTAGATTTGAAGCTTTCGTGACTGCAAGGATTCATACTCTTAGTTCTTTCGGTAAAGTCACGTAGGTAAAAAATGAAATAAAAAATAATAATAATAAATAATAATAATAATTACTCTTTTTATTTTAATTCCAGATATACAGGCATCAGGGTCGGGATCGAG